CCCCCCAGCCAGCCTCCGAAAGCCGTGCCTTCCGCACCCTGCCTGCAGCGGGGAGGCACAAGTTACTTCTCATTCAAGCTGAAGTCGGTGGGGACGTCAGCATAGGAACAGCCTAACCAGCAGGCAAAACCACCGCTTCTGCTTACTGCAGACACCAAAACCCAAACTTCTCCAGGGAAGACCAAGCCCAGGCGCAAACCCAGCCCGTACACTTCAGGAGGAGTGGGGTGTGCATGTCCCACTTGCAGCCACTTAAGAAAACACTTGTCAAGCCATTAAAATGTAAAGGTCAGGGTACTAATGAAGAACACTAGATGGCACTCATATGCTATCGAAAAAGTACATCATGCTCTTCCCAACTATAAAGTTTAGATTTTTTTCCAAGCTTTAAAAATTATGTTTAAAATACACAATTCAGGACATATTCTCACATTCTCTTTCCCAATATACACTCTAAACCAAGAAAAATCACTTGCAATGATACCTGAAGACATGTGCTCTGGCAAAGAAGCTGGTCTCCCCTGCCAGGAAAAGTCAAAGTGTCACCTAGCCCATCATGCTGACACTGTTTGCAGAATTATTTCTCCCAGTACGACTTTTCCATTTAAGGCCAACACATTCAGCTTGTTTGCACTCTGCAGGTATGTGACTGTGTGTATATTTGGCCATTATTTCACTTCTAAAGAGTCCTGGCAGCACTGAAGGGGAGAAATGTCTATTCCTATGCCTGGACTTGCAGGTTGGTCATGTAGCTCTGCTGTTACATTACTGACATAGCTACAGTTTCTAAATAAAAATGATTAAATGCTGTAAACACCAGTATTACCAGTACAATAGAAAAATACCTGTCAAATGCATTTGTGCAGTTATAACTCACATTTTGCAGCTAGCCTGAACAAGAGAACGTATATTGCAGAAATACGCTTGGGCAGGAAAAATCTTTAGTGTTTGCTCCTGCCATGAGTGGTGACAATCTTGATGTTTTGCACTAGGTCCTTCTGCTCAACCCAGAAGGATGATCCAGCAAAGCAAACAAACCCTGCAGTACCTCAAATTGTTGACAAAACGAATATGAATTTCTACTTACATCGAGTTGAAGGGACCAAAACGGTGTTCTGCTGGCAATGCCACAAAGCCAGAAGCAACACCTTGATCTGCTGTCTGCAGACCCCTTCCCTCCTGCTCCCCCCTGGTCTCTGCAGGGAGCCCGCAGAGCCAGGGTGCCACAGAGCACGGCACGAAGGTGGTCAGGACCTGGCTGAGAGGGCACAGCTGAAAGTAGTTGCTGTTGTCGCTATTTACAGAGCTTCACAATCCTTGGTATGCCTCTCCATGCTCACCTCTTTCCGCTGAGATAGTCAGATCAATTCTCACTGACATCACTGTTTATTGATAACTGCACCAATAAATCATAACTGCCCCCTTTGAAGTCCTTTGTCATCACAGAATTATGCTTCAAAATGCCAGGCCAGCCTATATTGCTCCACCTAATCAAATCCTATCAGAGATAGGAGCCCAGGGTGAAGGACTACCCAGACCTAGAAGTCTTATCCAGTCCTCCTCCTCCAGGAGGACATGCAGAGATGTATATATTTAAAGTAATCATGCATCAAATTGTTTTAGAAATAATTCAACCAGGTAACCTTCACGAGAAGACAGAGAGATCTACCTTAATTTCAATACCCCTCTGAACCATGGCTAGCCAGCTGTTTTTCAGGCAAGGACCCCAAGCCACCCTAGGGAGAGGGGACTGTCACGTCCTCTATTCCATGCCACTCTTTGCAGCCAGCTTTGATGCCATTCAGCATAGCTCATGCCAATCAGAGGAAAGAAGTGGGTATTTCCCAAGGGTAAATAGGAGACTCACAGGCTCAAAGTTAGGAGACCCTCCCTGACCCTGCACCCTGATCCAAGAAGGTCATCAGCACTTTTAAGCAGCTGAGTGACTCCAATGACTTCACTGAGACAAGTTTTGACGAGGACAAACCTCATTCACAGCCAGCTAAAAGGAGACTGAATTTACAATACTGCTATTTCACAGTAAATATTACAAAATTTTCATGACTTAGTATGACTTTGTTCCAATTACTCCAAGGCACATGGCAGTACCTGATGTAATTAAGTAATAACCAACCTTTTCTGTTCAGCCGGTTTTTTTTTTAACAGTTTATGAATGGGCAAAAAAGAAACCTTTTTTATAAAATGAAACATATGCTTTTATTAATTTAACCAAACCTGCTCAGGACACAATGGAATAAAAAAACCATTTGATCCAATAATTCAATTTGATGATTTAATTAAAGTGATACATAATAACGTAGCAAATGTCTGCAAGGCAAGGAAAAAAGTGTAATGATTTGACCATCTATAAAACAACTGGCATTTTCCAGAGATCTAATTTTCCTTTCTATACTCTGTGTGCCTTGGATTTTTGAAAGAAGATTAAAAGAATCGCAGGCTCCTTGCTTTCTTTTTTTTTTTTTTAAGATGCTGAAGAACCTCTACTGATTTTGCAAAATGTGCAGCTGAAGGACAAATAGAAGTGCAGAAAGAGATTGGGACAGGGAGGGAGAAGTTTGTGTCTTCCTCTGAACTGAATCAGAACATGCTAAAGAGAAACACAAGCTTTTTTTTTTTTTTAAACCAGGCTAAATAAGCAAAAAAACCCTGTGAATTCATGATTGCTTGAGAAAAAAAAAGAACCGAAACCAGCATCCTTTCACATTGAAATAGCATCTCAGCTATATTTAGAAAAAATATTACTAATGCTCGCTTTTAAATTCAGATCCTAAGGGATAATAAAAATATTGAGGGGGCTTTCAGGATGTCTTTCTGTGGTGTAATGCAATACTGAGCAGATACCTGAATTGGCCCTGTGTAGGTCTAGCAAGACACCAAAGCCACTATGTCCTGGCTAGCAGACCGCCCGGGCCAGGACTCCTGGAGGCAGAAAAGCCTCACCAGGGCCACAGGGTTACATCTTGGAGGCACTCAACAGACAAGCACATTCGCAGTACCGTGGGCATGCCTCGTGGCAGGCAGCGATGCCCCGAGCGTGGCATGCCTCGGACATCTCGGAGTGAAAAAAACAAAAAAACCCTCACCCTCCTGTCAGGGATGACCTGAACTGGAAGCCTGGCAAACAAGCTGGCTCCTGCCTTATGGAAAAGTCCTGCAGAAGAGGGAGGGTTGCGCGGGTGCATCTGGAGGAAGTCCTCTGACCTGACACAGGGCAGCCTCAGCTGGCGTTTCCAGCTGTTGGCCATGTGCGGGGCTGTCTGGGAGCGTGACACAGTCTTTTCTCTGCAGATCAGCCTGCCCGGGAAGGCAGGGGGCAAGCCAGCATCTTGGCTAGCCTTGTTTTCCAGGGCTCACTCAAGCCTGGAGAAAACCTGTTTGCCACTCGCAGACAAATGTAGCATGCTAATACAGTCCTAAGCGCTGGCCAGGCCAGCCATACAGCAGAGAATTATTTTCTTCATGTTAAAAACATTCCAATGGGCTGGAACAAACAAAATTAATTTAACAACTCCGCATTCATCTCTCCCATAATTTGATTTGTATGTTGTATTTGGCTACGTAACCTCCACGAGGCTTTCCTAACTGAAGCCTGATAAAGCTTAATCCAAAAGCTCCTGGCAACTCCATTTCAGAGAGCTGAAAGACAAAAAGGGGGGCTTATTGTTTTGCAAAAATTCACCACTGATATTAAGATACACCCATGAATGCAGAAAGGGCATGTAAGAGAATATTACAGTTTGTTTTTTTTTTTTAAGAGCAGCCTACATTTCTCTTTCAAAGGCAGAAATGCAAAACCAGCCAAACTTTCTGGGTTTCATCGTGCTTTTTGCATATGCTACCTGTGGTCATAAAAAGAGCTATTTAGGGAAAGTTAGAGCATAAGAACCATATATTTGGTTATTTCTTGTATACCTTCTCCCTGTAAAACAGGTGCCTGATACGATGAATCCAGTGGCACTGGTCTCAGAGGGATTTATAAAATCCTCTAAAAATGCTCTAAGTTAGCTCTTCCACACATAAAAATGTCACCACTTTAAAGGCAGTTATTTCTAGCTGTGCTATGCCCTCTTTTGGAAAATCCCACTCTCTCCCTCCTGCTGCGTGTCTCAGCAATGCAAAACTGCCATTCCTCTCCTCCGTACCGTGGGATATACGTTGTGTGATGAAACCCTGACAATTTTCAGCACAGAAAAGCAACGTGCCAGTGAAGTCCTGAATCCCTGCTGGTGAGATGGGCAGGGATCTTCTGAGGCAGTTCATACGTGGAGGGAGGAAACATCGGCATCAGGATGTGCCCATGGACCATTACTGGATCAGGACTGCTCAGAGGTAGCTAAAAGACAGGGACAATGGTCTTGTCTT